CCACCTCAAATAAAATGCTTGAATACTTTGTCATGTGGTTTTTTTCAATTGAAGGCACAACACTAGACTTGTACTGAACCATGCGCTCTGATATCACTTGTTAGGATTTAAGAACCCTCTTAAGATGCGGAAAGAGAAATCCCAAATACTGGATCCCACCAATATCGTGTACTTATCCAGCTAGTAACAAAATAGGCAAAATCACTACCTATAATACGAGAAATAAAACATGAAACACGCACGTCATAAAAACAGCATGAAACACACACGCCACATGAATGCTACAATAATACAAAATTTTACGTGGTTCACTCCAATAGGGCTACATCCCCGGGCACGGTTTGCTGAAATCCACTATAGAAAGTTACATTACAAATTTTGGGATATAGAGTTACCACTATAACATTCGACAAAACCCAGTCAAATAAATCATTTTAGACCCAATCTCCCCATCGGCACAATCATAGACCTCTCATCTCTATTCTTAGATTCTCATCTCTATTCCACAACTAAATCATTGTCTAGGAATAAACCATATTCATTTCAAAGTCTCTCATTTCTATTCATGCCCTCTCATCTCTATTCTACAACTAAACCACTATTTAGGAAGAAACCATCTTCATTCCACAATTAAACCAATGTCCACGAGGAGAACCCTGAGAGCATTCGAGACTTTCTCTCTCTAAAGGGGAAACCACCAAAACGCTTCTTTTTTCTATAAGAAACAAACCTCTCAATTTATATGAGACATATATGTGGCAATTGTCTCTGTAAGAAGCTCTTTTATCTCTGAAGGAGGCGTTTATCTCTGTAAGAAGTTTTATTATCTTTAAAGGAAGCTCCATAAAAAGCTATTCTCTCTCTAAGGGAGGCGTTTATCTTTGTAAGAAGCTTTATTCTCTCTAAATGAGCCCTTGCCGATGCTGACGAGGCCCTGCCTCTCTCTAGAAGAAGCCATATTTTCCCATATGGTGACCCAAATAGGATACACAAATTCTCTTCACTTTCATCTCATATATATATAAAAAATCAAGAGTCCACACCAAATAGAAAACCTCCTAAAAGTGTTACGTATATCTCAATAACCAAGAGACATATCTGTCTTAATCTTTTGGATTCCTATTTCTTTTATTAAACTTGTCCATTTCAATTCCAATCCCATTGGATTTCTTTATGTGGGTAATTTTGGATAATCACCATATCCAACAACTTGGACTTGCCTGTGTATGAATTACTCGGGTGAGTCTGAGCTAGCTATCTCGAGTTTTTCCTCATTAATTTTATTATACAAAAAATGTGTTTGGGCTTTTTGAGACGAACTTCAATAATTCAAACTTTTGATCTCCCTCACTCAGACCGACATACAACAACATCAAGGACTTTTGAACTATTATACATTTGAAATATAAGAGTCTCATTTGAGAGAGAGAGAGAGATTCAATATGGTTCCATCATTTTTTTCCAAGAATCGAGAGAGAGAGAGAGAGTATGATTTATTAGGGAAACTATTTTGGAGGATTAATTTGGGTCTTATCCATTTTTAGCCTAAATAAGAAAAAAATTACATTCGATTTTGGATTGACCACTAAAAGGGTTTTTTATTACTTTTTTCTCCCTTGTGTGGGTTTAGTCCCACAAGTGGTTTTGTGTCGCCCATGGCCTGAATAAGACGAAAAACAAATATTTCCCCATATTTTCCTATTCTATAATTACAAAAAAATAAAAATAAAAATAAAAAAAATCCCTGGGTGGTAGACAGACTGTCTCAAGGTCAATGTAGAACTATGGATCATTGTATATGCATTTCAATTGGAAAATGTTCCGATTGTTCTTTTCTAGTTGTCCCTCTTATTTGTGCTTATACCTCCCTAGGCAGACACCTTTTAATAGTTTAGATTGAACTATGCTCAATCCAAGGGCCAAAAATGAATCTCGTTTTTTATTTTTAAATTTTTATATAAAAATATTATTAATTTGGAATTTTGGTTTTAGATTCATTTTTATAAGTAATGCTGAATAAAAATAATAAAATATATTTTGATAAAAAAACATTGACCAAAAAAAAATTAGAGGTATTTTGGTATTTCTATTTAATTTTTTTAATAATTTTTACTAAGTTGTATCTATGAAAGTATACCTACACTCTTGTTTTTTTTTTTTCATTTCTTATTTAGTTGTATTTATGAAAATACACGTACACTTCAAATTTTAAATAGGTCTTTTATTTAAATAAAAAACAAAAAAAATACGAGATTAATTTTTGGCCATTGGATATGGTCATACAAGATGTCAACCATTGGAAGGGTGCTTATGCATTGGATATGGCCGTATAAGATTCGGCTTCCAGCATAGCGCAACATTCCTTTCACCAAGCTTGGGACCCCGGTACTGGGGTTGGCGGAGTTGAAATTTATATTTGAATAAACAACGTATTTATCCTAAAAAACCAGGATCCAACCAAAGGAGTAAAAAAAATTCCAAAAATGAAATCAAATCATAATCTTTTGAAGCTTTTCACTTATATTTTATTATCAATCATAAATTTGGATCTTGCTTTAAAATATGAAAATTATGCTTTATTAATCATAAATTTGGATCTTGCTTTAAAAATATGAAAAGATTTGGAAGGGCTTGGTCCAGGTTTGAATTTTGGATTACCTACTCCAAAAGGTCAAAAAAAGAAAAAGAAAAAATATCTTTTAAATATGTTCTTTGGTAACATTTTTCCCTTTTCACATTATTCCAACTCAAAAATCACATGTATATTGATGGGTACTTGGAAACTAAGTCAAAACATATGGGTAGAATTTCAAATAGTGAATATCTTAAGTGCATTCGATAATTTTCCCTTTTTCTGTCAAGGGATTGATATCATGCAAGTACTTTATAATATTTTATGGAAGAACAATGAAGTTGCTAGTTGAAAAATCATGTTATGGGCATGTGTCGTCTGATCTCGTATTTTTAAACAGGCTCTCGTTTCATCCATGAACAATATCTTAGAGATAGATTTTGTAAATTAACCTTAAAAAGTATTTTTTTCAACAACATGAACAATAGTTGTATGTTTAATCCATAATGGTTTGGTCCACAACGGAACTTTTTCAACCCAACTTCTCTATATGGCATTTGATGGTTGTGAATTTAAATGGTTGTTTCATTGGAACGGGCACTCATTCACTCACTCCTTTCTCTCTCTTTCTATCATTGAAAATAGTGATTCGTATTGAGATTGGTGATTTTTTATTTTTTATTTGATTTTAAAATAAGAGAAGGTGCACCTTCAAATTTTATCATGGTGTATAATTTTGAGGTAAAATGTCATTAGAATTAGCTCAAAATCTATTTTTATATCTAATTATAAAATTTTAAATTTCAAAAATAGTTAAAATCAAGTAGACCTATAAACATATTAAAATCTTGAAAATGGATGATGTGGATAATATGCTGTAAAATGTACTATTTTTAAGACTTAAAATCTTTTTAATTTTCATGGTCATACATCTCGATGTCAAGATGATCAATCAAAAGGTTTTTCAACATTAAAATTATTTTTTCCGATGAATTTTTTATGTGCATCCGTAGTTCTACATTATAAGGTTGCATCCTTATATAAACTTTTTCCTTTGTTAAAATACACCTAACTTATGTTAGGGTTTTCACACTATAGAGTAAATTATCATTGTACTCAACAAATTTTGAATACCTACTATAGTGTTTTGTGTTTATAGTAATTTGTCATTGTACTCAACAAATTTTGAACACCTACTATAGTGATTTTAAAATCAAAGCAAAAGTCATGGGCAAATTATTAAAGGAAAAAGTTTATGTATGGTTGAGATCCTAAACATTCAAATTAAGCGGCACTTCAAAAATTCACTGGAAGATGTTGTTTTGATGCAAAAAAATCCCAAAATCAGTCATCTCAACTTCAAGATGCATGAATATGAGAAAAAATAGATTTCAAGTATTGAAAATAGTGCATATTGTAGTACATTTTGTGGATCATCAATTTTTTAAGATTTTCATTTGTTCAAAGATCTACTCATTCTACACTATTTTCGAAGCTTTAAATTTTATAATCATAAAATAATTTTTCATGCCATAACAAAGATTTCCAATACTGAAACATCTTTCGACACTATTTGAAAGTGCATCTAACTTGATTGTTTAGGACCTTATACAAACCACACCCAATATTAAGGGAAAGCTTTTTATGTTCCCCTTACAACATAGAAGTTCTATCCTCCCTTTATTCGGCCGTCAATTTTTTAATGAAAGGCCAAGATTGCCCCAATCACAATATCACGTCTCTACACTATTTCATTTTTAATTTTTTCCTATAAACTATTTTTACACCAAATTTTGGATGTTCATTCCTTTATTAAATTCACACTAACAAAAAATACAAAAAAATTATTTTAGATAAAATAAAATGACAAAAATACCCATAAAAGTTTCAAGGGGTATTTCGGTCATTATATTTCATCGAAAAATTATTGTTAATATTTTTTATAAGTGCGCCCTAATGAGAAGATGACACATCCCAAATTTCATATTCAGAAAACTTGTATTAAAAAAAATTAAAAATAAAATACTTTGAGACGCCAGATCTAAGACGAGTGGCTCTCTTAAAAAAAAAAATAGACGGCCGGATGGTAAAAAGAGGATAGAATTTGTGTGTTGCGGGGAAAACATAGAAAGCTTTCCCCAATATTAAATACTTAATTACTTAGTAATACTCCGATTTAATTTTGGGACTGAGTGCCACACCCAAAAATCAGTCGACAATCTTGTCCAGACCGATCCGGATTTTAAAACTCCTCTCATGAATCACCTTGGGTCCCTCTCTCTTCTGTCAATCGTAAGGTAACTTTGAGCGTTTCCGAATGAATAATATCATGGGTCTCCTGCAATCGCGTACAATTTGTTTGGGCGATACTAGCCGTTGTAGGTACCCGTTTTCGAATTTTAAACCTAAAAATAAACAAACCGACCGTTAACATCCTCATTAGGAGCCAAGCACAATACCCCATGAAACAGCAAGAAATGGGTTCCTTAAGCTGAAACCCTCCCTCTCTCTCTGCATCTCTCTCTCTCTCTCTCTCTCTCTCCACCATGAGACGCCATGGCTGGCAGTCCCCTCTTCATACTCTACAGGTAAATGTTTCTCTCTCTCTTTTTCTCTCTCTCTCTCTCAGGCTGGTATTTAAGTTTTAATCTGTTCGCTTTTTGTTTTCAGATTGTTGCCATTACATTCTACTGTCTGCTTGTTGCTGCATTCTACTCCTTCTTAGGACCACTCCTTGGCAACAGAGTAGCGGAAAACACAGTACTTTCCCTCTTCTCCTTTGTGGTATGTAAAAAAATAAATTAGAATCTCTCTCTCTCTCTCTAAATTATGGGACTGAATCTTGTGTTTTACTGATACCCATCCAACCCATCTCTCTCTCTAAACTATCGCCCTAAATTTGTAATTTACTGATGCCCATCTCACCCATTTCTCTCTCTTTCTAAATTGTAGACCTGAATATGTCTACATTAAGGAGCGGGTTCTCACGCTCGAGTTCATGTGATTTACTGATAACCCATCTCTTTATTTCAGGCACTTTCAGTTATGGTGTTCTTCATCAGGTGCACTGCCATTGATCCTTCTGATAAGACCAGTTTAAAGAAGAAGAAAGCAGGGGAAAAAAGCTATGGCTTACCAAAGCTTAACTACTGGGGTATCTTGGTCCAGATTTTTCACAGGTTTTTCAGGAAGATTGAGAGGAAAATACTAAGGCGTTTTATTAGGAGAAGATACATGGACCCGTGGTTTTCACCTGTTCAAATGGATCCTTTTGTGCCATTTCTTCTTCTTGCAAAGGATGAAGTGGTAACTCCTGAAGCTAAAGGTGACGAAACCACGTTCTGTTCTCTCTGCAACATTGAGGTTAGTTGGGAACCTAAAATCTTTATTTGCTTACTACAATTGAAATCAAAATCTACTTTTTTAATAAAATTTTGAGATCAAAGTTTTGATTCAAATTGAAATTTTCAGGGGTTTTATTTGACTTTTTAATGCTAGAATCTATGAAAAGCTGACTTGAACTGTTGGTATTCTGAGACAGCAAACTTTTGAACTCGACTTTGTCTTTTTTCCTTTCCCCCCTTAGTTGTGAGAGCTCTGTAACATTGACCTTAGCTGGGGTTACAATAACTCAAAATTGAGTTTAATTCGGAATTTTTTATCCAAGTTGTAAAGTTCAAAATTTTCTTTGTTGTGTTCATTGTGAAAGATTTGATTGAAAACTTGGGCATCTGGAATGTCAGGATGAAAAAGATTTGGATTTTCAAACTTGTATTTCCTTCATTTTGCAACCAGATCTGGTCCTCGGTAACTTTGGGTGAGATGGAGCTATCATGATCACAGATTATCAGAGTTAAGGGAAAATTATAGAGTTAAGCAAATGTTTTTTTTTGAGGGAAAGGTTAATTTTATAAATATAAAAAGAAATAGTATAAAAACCACAAAAAGTGGTAAATAGGCATCCCACAGGTGGGTGCTCAGAATACAACATAAAACCATGGGTAATAAGGGGAAGGACTCGAAGGAGAGATGTGCAGAAGGAAGAAGGCAAAAACTAAATGCACATGAAGAGAGACCACGAGATGTGGTAAAACAGCAGCCCACTTTTAGGGTGCTCAGGATACAGCAATCACTGAATTTGAAGAATACATAGGAAGTGAAAATTAAAGCCAACTGTGCCAGTCGGTCCGTCATGAAGGGCCTGGACCCTACCCACAGGTCCAATGTCTGGACCCATACCCAGACCGGGGTATACCCGGGTTGGATCCAGGTCCATTGCCAGCCCTATGTGGAGGGTGTAATTATAGTCTGAGATATATATCAAATTTATTCAATTTCTTTTTTCCTTGCTTTTTTTTTTTTTTTTTTTTTTTACCTTTTTTCCCCTTCCTCTTTTTGCTCCATTTCTCTCTCTCTCTTTTTTTTTTTTTTTTAAGGGTGAGGGGAGAGGGCAGGGAGGAGAGAGCTGTAAGGGGCTAGAGTGTGCACCTATGAAGTTTAGAGCTCCATCCTCAACCAACCTTTTTGCTTTCATGTTGGCTTCTCCAAGGATGTGTTTGACACTAACCGGTGGAAGAGAACTGCACAAGTTAAAAAAATGTTCTAAATATAATTTTTCAAAATTTTGTATTGATGGAAATTATGAGAACTTCCACTGCAAAATCTCGATCACCCAACATAGCTGTAATTCCAAGTTCTTAATTCAAAACTTTGTTGGGCCTTTTTTCTAGTTAGTTTCATCAAATTGAATACCCACGTCTGGCCCAAACTATAAGATCATGTAAATTTCCACACAATTTTGCAAAAACCACAAAATTTACGTTTTTGGGCTCGAAACATGCAAATTTCTAATTTTCATGGTATCAACTTCTGCTTATGGTCATTTTTAGCCAAATTATAAGATATCCCTCGAGTTCTCACTAAAATTCCCTTGAAATGTAACTGTATTTCAGGTGAAGAAGAACAGCAAACACTGTAAAAGCTGTAATAGATGTGTTGAAGGGTTTGATCATCATTGCAGGGTAAGAAACAAACGCCAAGTTCTAAATTTCAGTGAAAGCAATTTTCAATTTTGGTAAAAATTGAGATTCAGTTCCTATCCTTGATACTCTAGAACAACCAATTTGCCACATTTTGTGTCAATTTTACCCCTCTTCTTCTGATTTTGCTTTCTCCTTTGCTTTTATTTGATTGACTCTGAATTTTGTGCTACTATCAATGACTTATCTTCTTGGTTACTTGGCAAATAATGCATATTTATAAATGCAAAATTCATACTCTTATTTGCTGAAATTTTGGCAGTTGTATTGGGATTTCCTCTTAACATCTCTCTCTTAAAACACTGAGCAGTGGCAATCTTGGTTTCTCTACAGTGGCTGAACAATTGCATTGGGAAAAAGAACTACACGACCTTCATTCTCATGATGGTCTTCGTCATGCTAATGGTATGGTAGTTTTTTATCTTCTATTGTGTCTACTACTTATCAAGAAATTTCTATAATTAATTTATCAGCCTATGGGACCATGCTTAATGAACACCACCAATCTCAACCAGTATTTATATATTAAGCCTATATTGGAGAGGATTTTGCAGCTAATTATTGAAGGAGGGTCAGGAATTGCCATTTTTGTAAGGTGCTTCGCAGATCATAAGGGAATTGTGAGAGAGATGAAACTGAAACATTACAATAAGTTTCCTACAGGATTACTTGCAGCGATTGCGGTAATATTCATTTTTTAAAAAAATTAGTAATATTCACCATTTTTTTCATACTAATGTCAGAACACATGCAACAACCATGTTCTAACTTTCATTAATCTAATAGCATTTCAACCTATTTCAGGCCTGTATAACTGTGCTTACAGCTTATACATCAGTTGCATTGGGCCAACTTTTCTTCTTTCATGTGGTCCTCATTCGAAAGGTATGCCTATTCACTCTACCCCTCCACACAACTTTGGCCTAAAATTTGACACAATTGATATTGTTTTGGCTGCTTAAAATCCACATTTGTTTCACACTCTTCATCTGATCTTTTCAAGATATTGTTCTACCAGGGCATGAGAACTTATGATTATATATTGGCAATGAGAGAAGAAAGGGAAGCAACTGAATTATTTTATGATTCCGATTCTTCATCTGATGATGACTTTGAGCTCGATTCACCCCAAAGAAGCAGTTTCATTTCAAGATTTATATGCAAAGGATGTCAAACAAATCAGGTTACCACCCACCTATAACTTTTTTAAAATATAGATCATGATGAATATAAAAGGCAAGAAAATTTCTTCCAGTAAACTCTCTCTCTCTCGCTCTCTCTCTCTCTCTCTCTCATATTTATGCATTAAAAGCAGCCCTTTTGTTCTTCACAGACCAGAAGACTTTCAATTAGGATTGACCTGAGCTCTGACCTGTCAAACACCAAGAACCCCAACTCCCACCCAAGTATCAACCCATGGAGACTGCTAAAGATGAGCAAAGAAAAAGCTATAATGGCAGCCGAGAAAGCAAGAGAGAGAATCTCAAACCAGCCAAAAACCACAGAGAATGACGTCAAAATCGATTCCACAAAACCTGAAGAGCCTCAGAATATGAAGTTGGATCTCATCAAGAGCCAAATTTTGCTAACCCCACTCCCTTTGGAAAGAACACTTATTTTTCCTGCCGCTTTTTCAAGTCCAAGAAGAAGGATTTCGAGCTCCCCAACTTCGTTTTCAGGCAAGCCAAGTGCCCTTATGATTTCTAGGAGGCAGAGCCCTCTGCATTCTCCTCATAAATATAAGACCCACTTCGAACCAAAGCTCAGTGAAGTATCTAGACAACTGGAAAGTTATATATCCCAACAGGTCCTTGGCTCAATCTTGAAAAAGGGAAGGGAATCATCAGGATGTGCCAGTTAATCGCAGTAGGGATTTATCTTCTTTCTCAGTCTTTGAGAAAAATTCTATATACCAAGATTATTGATTTTTTGCATAATTTCTGATAATTTTTTTTATTGGAAATTGGGTGCTTTATTAAGGGAAAGGATCCTTCTTCACGATGAAGAGGTGTTTTATTCATTCTATTGGTGGGTGTAGAAGTGGATTTCTACCTACACGAAGCTTGTATGCAGTCATAGTTCAAATTATCTTTTGTTGAAACCATGAAAAGCCCAACTTCACCTTTTTTTCATTCAACTCCTTATATATGCGTACGACACATGCGTTAAATGAAAAGGCTCAAATACACATATATTTGCTATGACACCTTCAAGAAAGGGTGCAGTTGGCATACAGATGCATCCGTAGCTGTAGAGGTAAGGTGCACCTTCAAACTTTATCATGGTATATAATTTTGATGTAAAATGTTCTTAGGACTATCTCAAAATCTATTTTTATATCTAATTATAAAATTTTAAATTTCAAAAATGGTTAAACTCAAGTAGATCTATGAACATACGAAAATCTTGAAAATGGACAGTGTAGATAATATGTTGTAAAATGCACTATTTCTGAGACTTAAAATCTTTTTATTTTTCATGGTCATACATCTCGATGTCGAGATGATCAATCAAAGGGTTTTTTAATATTAAACTACCTTTTCCGATGGATTTTTGAGGTACATCCATAGTTCTACATATTATATAAGGTTGCATCCTTATATAAACTTTTTCCTTCAAGAAAAGGGGGAAAAACAAAACTTCGAGATGAAATTGCTGCCAATGTGTCGTGGCTATCATTCAACCATGAACACAAATGCGAAGGCCACATGTTCTATCCAACTGCTGCACAAACGCACACACGAGAGAGACAGAGACAGAGAGAGAGAGAAAGGATGAACTATAGGATTCACATAGTTCGTCCCCTTGCATGCGTAGAATGCTAGAGTGAGGTCAAATAAATAGATAGAGCGACTTCTGTCACTGAAAAAGGAAATAGGAAATCTATGAATATTTCATATTCACATATGTCTACGAAAGCATTTCAAATACATGCTTAATCGCCATGACTGAAGGGCGAAGAGCTGGTCCGCCTTTTTAATTTAAGGTTTTAAATCTTAAGTATAAGCTCTTGTGAATAATTTATTAAGGCACGATATGCATTTGTCAATGAGAAACTTGAATCTCTAGCTGCTTTTTTTTATTATTATTTAGATCTTTCATAAGCATGTACTTGAATATATCACAGGTACCTCAAATGGTTTGGAAGAATAAAAAGTGATTGGGTTTGCATTAAGAAATTTGATCGATATATCTAGCATCCTTTATTCCTTGTGCCACACTAGAGCTTTTCTATCACTCTATAAATCATAGTTATGTTAAATGAGAGAGAAACTCTTTCCATTTTTCTTTTTTTGATCGACTTTAAGAGATAATCTCATGTTTTAGAGTATTAGTCCCTTGGAAAGTAAGCAAATCATACTGGCTCAGGCATGACCTTTTTTTTGCTTGAACCAGCAAAACTGTCACTGGTATCTTTTGTAAACCATTGGCATTGAAGCTTAAGCCCGATTCCTAAAACTATGACTTGTTATCAATGAGAAAATTGCGAGGCTCTAAACAATCAAATTAGAGCGCACCTAAAAAATTTCACTAGGAAATGTTGTTTTGATGCCCAAATATCCTCAAATTGATCACCTCGACATCAAGATGCATGAGAAAAAATGAATTTCAAGTTTTGGAAACAGTGCATCTTGTAATGCATTTTTAGACCATCAATTTTCAAGATTTTCATAGATCTGCTCGATCTACATTATTTTTTAGAGTAATGATCCTATGAGACCCTCCCACACCCATGTGTGTAGGGCCCCAAAGGATCACCATTAAATTTGGCACAGATCTCTAGAAAAGTCAAGTCAGATACCTATGTGATAACTTTTCAAGAGATATGTGTCAAATTTAATGGTGATCCTTTGGGTTCCTACACACATGGGTGGGAGAGGGTCTCATAGGATCATTACTTTATTTTTTAAGCTTGAAATTTTATAATTAGATATGAAAATATATTTTAAGGCTATCACAAAGATTTCTAGTATTGAAGCCACATTTGTCGACACGATTTGAAGGTGCGCTTCACTTTGATTGTTTAGAACCTCAGCTCTATACAAACCGCGCCCTTTGAAGAGTCAAAAATAGATAAAGGGAAAAGTTTATATAGAGCCGAGGCTCTAAACAATCAAATTAGAGCCTACTTTAAAAATTTCACTAGAAGAGGTTGTTTTGATGCCCAACTATCTTCAAATTGATCATCTCGACAACAAGATACATGGACATGAGAAAAAAAAGGATTTCAAGTTTTGAAAATAGTGAATTTTGTAACGCATTTTTTGACTGTCAATTTTCAAGTTTTTGAAGTTTTCATAAATCTATTGATCCACACTATTTTTTAAGTTTTAAACTTTATAAATAAATATGAAAATATATGTTAAGGCTATCACAAAGATTTCCAGTATTGAAACCAGTTTTCTTGATACTATTTGAAGGTAGGCTCTAATTTGATTGTTTAGAGCCTAGGTTCCATACAAATAAATCCATGATATGGGTTTAAGTGGGTTCAGCCTCACCACTTCAGGCTTTGTAATCATTAGGTTTTAGCGATAGATTACATAACTCAATGCACAAATATTTTGGTGTGAGATTAATTCCAAACCAAAGAGTTTCCACATTTCTACTTGTATAATTCATGATATTGCAAAGAATTTTTCAATCTGGTTTCTGTTTTCACTAGGTTTTAGCCATAGACTACATAACTCAATGCATACAATTCTACTAGCACGATTCATGATATTTCTAAGAACTTTCAGCAGTAAAATATGCACCAATCTTTGCAATCTTGGCTTTTAAAATGCAAAGAGATCATCGAATTCCAAGATGGGTTTCTACTGACTAGCAATTTCTAGTAACTTTATTGATAAACTTCTTGTTAGTTTCTAAAGAACTAACAAAATACAAACTTTTAGTTGGTTAATGAGTTAATCCACTCGCATTTCATAATCTTGATGGCTATTACCACTGAGTGCAGCTAAAAACATAGAAAAAAAATACATCATGGGCTTTTCAGCTTGCAAGAGAACAGGAAACAGAAGAGGCCACAAGTATAAATATAGATAATACTTAAAAACGGACTCTAAACAATATCAGAGCTTAACAAATCACGCTAAAGAAATCTATATGAAAAATTTTAGTGATTTCTTCTTGGTTTTCGATGGGTAAAATGTACAGAAAAAAAATACATAACAGAGAGAAATTGCACATCTCACAGTGGCCTAAACAACTCACTGTATAAAATAACCCGAGAGGAAGAGTACAAAGAAAAAGAACAAGCTTCCATAAATCAATATAGCTTTCTGACCAGATGTCAATGCATTTCCCCCAAATCCAAACTGTTGGTTTTGCGCGAACCCTGCAATCTCCACGCTCTTGCTCTTGAAGAAAGACCGAGCAGCTCCACAAGTTGGGCATCTCCAGTCATCGGGCAATTTCGAGAATGGCATACCAGGAGGTACAGGATAAGAAGGATCGCCTAGGTTTTCATCATATCTGTAACCACAGGACCCACACTCATATATTCCAGTGTTTAACACCACAAATTTCTCTTCAAACCTTCGAAGATCAACCTGAGGCTTCTCATCTAGGGTTTCAAGATTGACCTGATCATTCTCGTCTAAGGTTTCGAGGTTTAATGGAGCTTTGGAGTTCGATTCGTCAGGTGTGGATTTATCCTCTTTTGAGACACCAATGGATTTGCAGCAGAATGGTTTTGCAGTTGCAGACGAATTATGAGCTGGAGGATGGGAAATTATGGCTTTAGGGTGAGTTGCAGAGGGGATGAAGAAGCGAGTAAAGAGAATTAGAGTTCCTTGAGGAACAGAAGGAGGTTTGGAGCTGGGGGAAAGAGAAGCTAGGGTTTTTTTGGTTGCAGTAACAGTGGGGAGGAAGTTGCAGGGAGCGAGGAAAGAAGTTGCAGACGCCATTAAAGCAGGTTTAAAATGTTCGAAGTCAGAAGGATTGCGAGTAAAATTGAAAGGAAAAGTATGAGAGAGAGAGAGAGAGAGAGAGAGAGAGAGTCTGGAGTGTGCGT